ACTGGCTGGCTTTCAGCTCAGTGACAACCGGCATCAAGCCAGTTCATTCTGCCATCCCCGCACTGACAGGAGAACACATGCACTCTGCATGACCAGGCAGTGGGGCTGCCAGCAACTGACTGGGCTCCTCACCTTGCCCACAAACCACTGCAGCAGCAGGCACAACCCAGAGCAATCAGAGAAAGGCCTAAGCCAGGATCCAGGCCTATTATTTCCTCAAAGGTTTGAAGAGCTCAGATTCATCTTCTACAGAAACCACAATTTCTAAAAGTATTTTGGTTCTTTAAACACCCAGACCAAGCAATCATGTCATTGAACGTATTGCAACACAAGGGGAACCCTTGTGAGAAAGCACTGCTACTGGATTAGGCTGCTCTTCTCACATTTTCTCTATGCAGCTGGCTGTTGTCAAAACTCAGCAGCAGAAGCAGAGTCAGGTCTGTCCTGCACAGGGGCAACCAGCTGTCAACGCAAGAAACAGGGAAGAAGCAATGGTTCTACAACCTATTTTACTGCTGCCTTTAGAAGCCTTGAGGGACAGGCTTGTCTTGGATCACAGGCAGGCCCTCACCCTCAAACAACACCTCTCTAGCAACACACTACCCAACTCCAATTCTCACCAAGCCACCAGACCTTGCCACAGACCCAGATGTCAACGGTGCGTCTTCATCAATGCAGACCACATCATCGCCGGACCAAGCCTAAAAATTATAACACCCAGGGTTCATAGGATCATAAGAAAGTAGGGCTGGAAGGAACCTCACAAGGCCAGCCAATTTAGCTCCCTGGTCAAGGCAGGATCATCTCTGACTAAACCATCCTAGCCAAACATCTGTCTGTTACAATGCTTGACATCTCTCAGAGTCAGGAAATTCCTAATAGTAAAAAAAATTCATTCGCCTGGTTCTCTGCGAACATCATATATGCCATCACCTGCATTTTCCAATCAGGGCAATCCCTATGTCAAAGAATGAATAGACATCAGTTCCAGAAATGCACAAAAGCCTGCAGGAGAACACTTTAATCTCTTCGGACATAGCTAACCTCAGAGTAACTGTCCTTATAAACTACAAAAAAAGCTTTAAAAGCAAACCTGAATACAAAATCAGAGAATAAGAAATCATCCTCAAACTGGGACTGTGGGTTCTTATCTCATTACCTGGACTAGCTGTTAACTCCTGTGTTCCTCCAGGTGTTGGCAGCCTTGTTTCATCTTAACTGATCTTATCAACCCACTTATTACCTCTGTGTTTTCTCTCTCATGGTCCCTCCCCTCGTCCCTTTCCCTTCTATATAAAAACTGTGATATACAGCCAAGCCCTCAGATACCACTGAATTTGCACAGAGGAGAACACCTGGGATTGCCACCTCACTAATCTTAAAAAGGCTTTCACTCAACAAGGACACTGCTCCAGAGAGGTAGATCGCACATTTGAAAGAGCCACCTGGATACCATGTGAAAAATTACTGTAGTACCAAGGAAAAAACACCCCCACGAATAGCACACCACTGGTGATGACAAACCCATTCCCTCAAATGCATATGGAAAATCCTCAAACAATTGCCACCCATACTAGAAGACCCTATTCTTAAAGAGATCTTCCCAGAACCACCCATCCTGGCCTTCAAATAGGCACTGAACCTTGCTAACCTCATCACCAGAAGCAAATTTCCTCAGGCCCAGAACACACCAAATGGATCCAGCCCGTGCCATGACAAGAAATGCAAAACCTTCCAACACATCTCCACCACCCCCACTATTACTACACCCCACAACAGAGCCATCAGCATCCCTGCTTCTTACAGCTGCACCTCCAGAAATGCACTACATTTCATCCAATGCACCAAATGACCTGATGGAAAATACATAGGAGACCAAACAACAACTGCGCACCAGAATGAACGCACACCAGAAATCTGTCAAAGACAAGAATACCCAACTACCGGGGGGGGGCGCACATTTCTCACAAGAAAACCATTCTCTCCCCAGTCTCTCAGTTTTAATCCTCAGAGGGAACTTACAAAACACTTCTCAGAAACGAGCCTATGAACTCCTCCACTTCATCAACCTCCTGCATACAAAAAATCATGGACTAAATATAGACATTGGATTTATGACACATTATAACCTGCCTGACATCTGACTCCCCAGGTACCTCTCCACTATTTAACTGCTACATTCACCCCTCTTTCCCCTGCCACCCCAGCCTGTCTCACCCACTGACTACTCAATTTAAATCTTCACTGCTTGCCCGTCTTGCATGCAGACTAACCTCTGGCTTCTTCACTATTCATTCCATCCAGGAAGAGCACACACCAAATGTAGATGCTTCCTCAGCTTGACAAAGGGTTTTTAAACCCGAAAGCTTGGTAAATTCCACCCCCTCCCAACTACTTGTTTGTTTAATAAAAGATATCAGATCACCCAGAGAACCTCATCTGCCTTCTATATAAAATCTTTTTTTCCTGCCAATCCATCATTATAGCATCTGAAACAGTACGTTGCTGCCTACAAAAGCTCACACCTCTTTGAAACAGTCAGTCTGTAAGGTGCTATTAAGGCCCTACCTTCTGCCTGACTTCAGACTAGCAGCTCCTCTGTGGTGCTCTTATAGGGCACTTTTACATGTGCTCTGGTGGTGGAGAGGGTGGCACTTTAAAGTGGCTCTTGGAGCAGCTCTCATTAAAGCACCACGGTATCTCGTAATTCAGCATCCCCCACTTTAAAATGTCAATGGGAACACTTTAACTAAACCTCGTTCGATGAGCTTTTAGTTCAAGCACCCCCACGCCATTTTTAAGCGTGTGGGGACAATCATGAGATGCAGAAGCTGACTGGACCACAGTAATTGCCACGCTCCGGCAGACTCGATTTCTGATGTGCTATAATTACAGCATGTTACAGCAGCCTCCATGGTTTTGTACAGGCACCCATAGTGATCTACCATCCAGACAAAGTTTGTGGAACTAATCTTACCTTGGTTTTGGTCTTTGGAAGTTGCAAGTGTAAATTAATCCTCCTTACAAGGTACATTTGCTTTTAAAGCCAAGGAAAACAAACAAAAGGAAGCAATGCCAATGGCCTAAGCAGAGGGCTGGGAGTTGGAACACTGATTCAACCCCTGGCTCTGTCAATAACTTGTCCAGGCACCACATGTGAGTTACATTGCCTGCAAAACAGAGTTCCTAACACAGGGGCGGGCAATTATTTCGGGTGGAGGGCCACTTACTGAGTTTTGGCAAACCATCAAGGGCCACATGACAGGTAGCCGGGGGTAGATAAATATTAATTTTCTAAATTTTTTAGGGGCCCCGTGGGCCAGATAGAATGGCCTGGAAGGCCACGTCTGTCCCGTGGGCTGCATTTTGCCCAGCCCTGTCCCAACAACCTGTATTAGTAAAGTGTTTTGAGCTCTTTGGAAGAAACATGCTGTCAAGCATGGTGCTGCAATTATTGGTATTGTAAAGTATTAAGAGCATTTCACTGACCAGAAGTTATGAAATAGGTTGCTGTTGCTAGGATTGCCATGTTGGCTGGCTAAAGAGCAGCTTACTCTCTTCTACTCACTCATTAATATTTGTAAAACCTGTGATTTTTTTTTTGTTAAAGAGCAGACAGAACAAATGTAAAGGTGACATTAGACCCCCCCCCCCCCCAAACATCCATGTGTTTGGCCAGTAATCACAGTCCTGGAAGAGTTCCTCCTAGCTACGCACTCAACTAGTCAGCTGTGTTGGGTTCCAGTCTCCCAGGTCTGTGCCTTCTAAATATCCTGTTGACTAGCAAGCTGCAGTACTACAGGCAACCCTTGCTTAACGCGGTTTTGCTTCATGCTATTTCACTATAATGCTTGTTTTTCATTGATACCCAATTCCACTTACTGCTCAGTGAGTTTCGTTACAACACTCATGGGCATCGTACATTGGTTTTGCTTAAAACTATTCCGCTTAACACTTGTTTTGTCCAGAACCAATTAAGAGCACAAAGCGGGGGTTGCCTGTATTTCCCTAGGTTTACATGGCAGATTGCCAGGACACAGGCTCTCAGTTACCCACATGGGAATGAGACTTCGAAACCAAGTTGCTCCCCTGTCTGCTGGCAGAATGAACATGGAGACACTCTTGTGCCTTCTGCCAGCTGTTGTAGTCCTTTCAGCAGTTGGTGCTTTCTCCAGTGAAACACTGATTGTAGCTGTGCTGAGCCACCAGACACACGTGGATGATTGATGCATGCTTTCGTGACTACAGCAATCAGACAAGGCCTTGGGTTTTTTGAAGTTCTGAAGATCCAGGCCTCCAGCAAATCTCTGTCTTACCTGATGAAACCTCTTGGACCTCCTGATGATACTGACCCCCTTCTCTGGACCAGCAGCTAACTGGTGTGTCCAGAGCTAGCCTTAGGGAAAATGGTGCCCTTGGCAAACTTGCATTTCCCACCCCCCCTTTCCTCCCTCCCATTTTGAGAAGCTCTGTTCACTGCTTGCCACAGATATGGGCGTGGTCAACAGGTACCCGAGTGCCATCCATGTGTTTGGGAAGTTGTTGTGAACGTCACTGTTGTAAATAAATTGAAGAACTTCTTGAGCAGCACTACAGTCTGTTGGAAGTAGACTTTGGAG